CCAGCCACCACCCCGCCCCCGCAAAACTTCCCGCCAATCACTGGCTAATTTATACCGTCCGGTCAGTGACGTCATGGGTCTCTGGGCAGATTTCCAGGGGCCTCAGCCAATCAGGAGAGAGTAGAGAAAAGTGGGGTGCGGAGGAGAGAGCATAGGAGTGAAAGGAGAGAAAGGCTGGTAGTGACTCAGAGATAGGACAGCAGACTCAAAAAGAGCGAGGCAGCGAGAGAAATGAGGAAGAGAGAGAAGCAGCCAGACGCTGGTTTGAACTGTGCTCCCCTCACGCTGTAACCACATCCTAACCCCCCAGTGCCCGTGAAGGGGACGTGGCTCCATAGAGAATCTCTGTAAAGATTCCAGATGACCCTGGATCAGGCTGCACCCTCACAGACGGGCGTCTCTGAGTGATGGAGGCTGAGGGTAGAGACTTTAGGAGGAGGGAGCCTGAGGCCAGAAACCAACTGGGGGAAGGGGGTAGAGGGTGGAGGCCGGGAATGATTTCCGCTGCAGAAATAAAAACGCCGCAGAGGCAAAACGCTATAGAAAAGGCAGAACAGAGGAGAGATTTGACTCGGAGGGCTTGGCAGATGAGGAGAGGGAACACGGGGCATGAGGGAGGGAGTCCGCAAGAGACACCCAGGCATCCTAGGTTGGAAGGACGGTGATGGACAGGCGATGGAGCACAGATTGGGACAGGGCAGGGCAGGGGAGGAGAAAGCCTTAGGGAGGAAGGAGGAGACAAGGCTGTTTCAGGGAAGGAGAAAAGGAGCACAGCACACGTCACAGTGAGCCTCCACACCATGGCCTGAGGGCAGGTACAGCTCACCTGAGCAACAGGTAGGGGCTGCCCCCATTTTGAATAGGAAGCAGCGGGTTTCTGGGGTAACTGGAGGAGACAGAGAAAAAGACACAGAAATGGAGTAGGGCAGGAGAGGAGGGAGCTGAAGAGGGGATGAGTGAATGGGGTGACAGGTAGACAGGGGTAGGGAGAAACCCTGAGGAACAGAAAGGGGTGCAGGGCCCAGATAAAGGTCCTCGTTTTAAATACCATGAAAGGCAGAAGGAAATGAATGTACAGAGCAGTGACGAGGAGGCACAGACAGTGAACAGGTCCGCTCTGGGTTATGTGGGACTTGTCACTGGCAGTCATGAAATGTAATGCTTAGTTTTTCTGTTCTGTGTTGTTTTTGTTGTTTTACAGAGGAAGGACTCACAAAGGCAGAAAGTACTGAAGGCTTGGGATAGACATAATGAGGTCGGGGTGGGGAGAGAGGGAGAGGGGGAGAGAGCCGTGAAATGACAGGGATACCCCAAAGGACACGGTAACCAATCAAGCGTCCTGCCAATTTTGAGGGACACCCGGAGACCTTAGGAGAGGGCAGGGATGACTCACGAGACCGAGATGACCCCCAACAACAAGGCAGCCAGACACACGACTGCAGTGATGCCCAGCACGGCTGGGTTCTGCAGCTCTCTGCTCGACTTCCTGTAGTGCAGGGCCATGCGGGGCTGTCTGTCCACTGGGCCAGCGGGGGAGCCACACAGACCCCCAGGTCAGCACCCGTCCATGGCCTGGCCCTCAGCCCCCTGCTCAGGGTCCTAGGCGGGGTAGGGTCCCTCAACTCCCTGCTTGGCCCCTGACCTCTCCCGGGGTCTGGCTGCTGTCCGTCTGTCTGTTCCTTAAATTCTCTGTGGTCGGCTGGGCTCTAGGCACTTGCCAGGAAGTGTGAAGGGCAGGATGACAGGCTTCCCGGGTCCCCGAGCCTACGACCCCTGTGGTATGACTGTCCTCAAGTCTCAACAGCCTGTCCCAGGTCTTCTCAGCCCCGGAACTTACCGAAGCAGTACCTTCTTTTAATGCATTTTGGGCTGGTCTTCTGGCAGGTTAGACAGTCCAAGACCTCTTCTTTTAGGAAATCTGGAGAAGGGGAAGGGAGGCGTGAGATGAGGGCAGAGGACTGGCAAGGGGCAGGGAAGCAGAGGCAGAAGAGGGGTGCCCTGGCCCTTCTGAATTTGCTGAGTGCGTGCAGGATGAAAGGTGCTGACGATTCACATCAAAAACACCTTCTAAATCAGAAAAGAGACTGTCCAGGTGACCCAGCATCCTGCTGGTAAACATTTGAAAATTTTCAGTTTGTAGCTCTCACTGGACGGGGCTGGCAGGATGCTCACTCGTCACCTGCTCTTCCTGTGCACACAGGAAGACTACATTTCCCAGGCCCCTTTGCAGCTGTTACAACCATGTGATCAAATCATAGCCAATGGAATGGCTGCGACTTCTAAGCCTGCCCATAAGCATCCTAGCTCCTGTCCCTTAAGAAGTTAGCAAAGAAAACACACAATGTTGGGACCCCATTCCTAAGTCACCCCCCACGTGGAAGAACTGCTAAACTCAGTGGAATTTGCATTAGAGAGAAACCAACTCTTGGTAAATTACTGAAATATGGTGTGGGGGGTGTAATTTGTCAACAGGATATAACCTGTTCTATCCTGGCTTACACCTCTCCCCCCCCACACACCCCCGGTTATTTTTGCAGGTTGCAACCATTTTCACAAGCCCTCAAAAGTCACCTCTTCCGAGGCTTTGGGGATGGGACCACTGAATGGAGTAGGTGTGACAGGGCGCTTGATCGGGGGAGGCAGGTTAAAGAGGTGGAAGGGCAGAGAAGGGAGGGCCAGAGACTAAATCCAGGACTCACGGCAGCTTTTACGATCGCAGGCTGCAAAAGAAAAGAGCTAGTGTGAGTTGAGTCGGCACAGCAACCTGAGAGCTCACTGGGAAGGGCTGGGAGCGGGAGGCAGCGGTGGGCCCAGGGAAGGAGGGAGAGGACTATTGGGGGGGCCAAGAAGGCCACTTAGATTAGCCCTAAGGGAGATGGGGAAGGAGCTGGGAAGCAACGGGGGTGGAGGGGCTGGAGGGGTAACGGGGGAGTGACGGCTAGTTCGGGAGGGGTGAGCACCTTTTAATTCGTATGATTTTAAAGCTTGCTTGAGCTTCTTGAGCACCCTCTCGCGAAAAGCCACCAGCTCCTCCATCAGAGGCCCGTCTGAGGAGAGAGGCCTTGTGGGGGCAGGCACCCAGCGAGCCCTCCCCATGCGCAGCTTCAGAGAGGGGGCATGGGAGGCTCCTTTCACTCATCGGAATGACTGGTCCGCTGGTCAAACCCATGGCCCTGAAGACCTACGTCTGGCCACTGTGGGGCCCCAGGCTAAAGTGCCCTCCCTTGGCCTGTTTCCTCCTCTGCTTAGTGCTAGGTGGGTGCACTCTTTCCTTCCCTGACTGCCCTTCTCGCTCCTTCACGCTATACCTAGGCCGCGGGCCACGCCTGCAGCCCCACACGGCCACTGGGTATTGGGCACGGCTGGTCTGGACTAAGCTGTACTGTCCCTATAAAGTAGATGCTAGATTTTAAAGCTATGGTGTGAACAAAAACCCTAAAAATAGCTCAATAATGTTTAAGTCGGTTACATGCGAAAAGGCCCTATTTTAGATATCGGGTTCAACGAAATATTAATATGTATTTCATCTTTTTGAACTGAGACTGCTGAACGATTTCCCATGACATACGTGGCTTTCACTTGTGGCTCATCTGGTTTCCACTGGACAGCAGTGTCTGACACGCTGGTGCCCAGACCTGTCATTCGAGCTCAGATTCATTTATCCTCCTGTCCCCTCACTCAATAAATCCCAAACTGAGTTTTGATTTCTCCTTCGGCGCTCTTCCAACTCCAGAGTCTTCTCCCTTGTAGTAGAAGGTGGGCCATGATACTCTTCTCCGGGCCCCCGAATCCTGGTGCTTCGGCTCCTTTTCCTTCTCCCCTCTCATGGGGTACACAAGTTGCATGGCACTCTGGAGCCCTTGTGGTGCAGGCTTTGCGGTCACTGTGCAGTCACACACATTTCCAGGTCACTACACCGTGAGAGCGGTGATTCCCACTTTACAGGCAAGGAAACTGAGGCAGGAGGAGCTCAACAGCGCGCTTAAGGGTGGCCAGGCATGAACCCAGGGGGACTGACCTCCGGCCTCCCCTCCGCCTTCTGACTGCTGCCCCAGGGCGGAGATGAGGACTCAGCCTCCCTGAGAAAGTGGTTAATTCTATTTCATTAGGAGTCGGCCAGAGGGGACTCCGTTCCTATGTCTTTTCCCTTGACAGCTTTACTGCAATATAATTAACATACTATACAACATCCACTTCCAGTACAATTCACTGTGTAACTATCACCATAACCAATTTAGAATATTTAGCACCCTGGAAAGCATAGTAAAAACTGTTCATTAACTGGGAGAGTAATTCCAAAAAGTGTGATATCTTTAATATAATTACAATGACTATGATTTCTGATTCTGTGACTGTTCCAGGGGGCTGGGGCGAGAGGGACTCTTACAGTTGGCAAAACACCACACTCGGACAAGCACCGGAGAGAGCAAACATCCTTCCGGCCCCTCTATGCCAGGGCACCGGGCTTCCGCACGCTGGCACGCCCCTCTCGGCATGTGTTTGTACAGAGCACACACACTCCCCCCTTTCCACGCAGGTGGCCTTCTGGGGCGTCCTTCCAGCGCCACCCCGCAAACCTGGCGAGGCCACAGGGCTCTCTAGCGCCCTCTGCTGGGGACCTGTCGCGGTTACCGGGCAAGTCGGCACCCGCAAACCTGTGAACCGGCCCCGGAGCCCCCAACCCCAAAGCAGAACCCCAAACCAGCACCGCAGGGCTCGGAGTTTGAGCCACATGCTCTGGGTTCAATCCTAGAGCAGTGTGACTTTGGGGGTTCCGCCTAACCTCTCTGAGCCTCCCCCTGTAAGGGGGAAGCAAGGCCTTCGACCCCTGCCAGGCAGACAGCAGAGGCGCCCCTGAGGGGCAAGAGAGGCGGGTGGACAGGCGGCGTGGACCAGGGTGTCCCTCGGCTCCTACCTCTCAGGGAAGTGTTCCGCAAGGCGGTGGTTTCATTCTTCAGAAAGGTCACCACGAGTTCCAGATGATCTAGTCCTGGGCAGGGCGGACAGGACGGGAGGAGGCCCGTGAGCCCCCATCTTTCTGCAGCCCTGGCCCCGCCCGCCGCCCTCGGGGGCGTGGTCTCCCCCCAGGCCGGCAGCCCCCCACCGGCACGCACCCACTTTCCCCACAAAGGCGTTCAGCGCGAAGTCCCGGAAGAAAGGCCCCTCCATGGCCACCAGCAGGGTCTGCGCGCGGGCGCGCAGCTGCTCCTGGTGGAAGCCCTGGGGGATGAGCGTCCAGCGCAGCTGGCTCAGGGCCTCCACCACCGAGCCCTCGCACTGCAGGCAGCCGCGGCCTCCGCGGGCGCCCAGGCCCAGGAGCAGCAGGAGGGCCCAGGCCGGAGGCATGGCAGGGCCCCTGTGGCGTCACAAGGGCCGTTGGCCCCGCCCCCAGCTGGGCCGTCACGTGCTTGCCGCGCACCTGCTGCGTGCTAAGGCGGATGCTGGAGCTAGGGCGGAGCTGAGAGCCACAGGCCATCCCTGTCCCATGGGCACTTCGGTCACTGCTGTTTACTGTGCACCCATGTGCCCCACCGGGTGTAGGCTGTGTCCTCTAGTAGCTAGGACATGCTGTGGCTGGGGCCGTCTCTTCTCACAGCACTGACATCCAACTTTGTTCAACAAGTGGTGTAGACATAAATGTCCAGGGAGCACCGCTGCGTGCCCGCACAGGAGACAGACTGATAAGGTGAACACAGGCTCCTGGTGCAGCCCAGTCTAGTAGGGCTGGGGGGAAACCGGTGAACTCCATCCAGGACAGGAAGACAGTCAGGGTCACTTAAAGGCGACGTTGGGAGCAATTCTGTCCTTGCGGGACACGGGAGCAGCATGGAGTGTCCGGGAGGGCGGGGGGGGGGGGGGGGGGGGGGTTTCTGCCTGGCCTGGACCAGGGGCTCAGTAGGGAACGAGATGCAGCACTATCCATTCTTCCAAAGAGGACATTCTGATATACGCTACCACATGGCTGCACCTCGAGTCATGATGTGAAGTCAGACAAGCCAGTTGCAAAAAGACAAATACTGTATGATTCCATTTACAAGCAGTAGCTAGAGTAACTAGTCAAACCGACTCTCAGAATTTCACACAGACTTTTCTACATGCCTAACTCAACTCTGCTTGGCTATCACCTCCTCCAAGAAGTCCTCCCAGATCTCCCCTGTCGTAAAAGCCATTCTTAGTTTGAAGATGTTATCATTACCTTGAACTCACGAATGATAGTGGATAATAATTCCTTTTTTTACATCTCACCTCTTCACCCCACCAAACCTCTTGGTGTGTTTTGCTCACCACTGTCTCCTGTCTAACCTCCTGGTGCCTCGGTTTCCTCAGCTGTAGACCGGGAATAAGAGCGCTCCCCCCACCGTCGGGAAGGGCCTGCATGCAGTGAGTGGGCGGTGCTCCCCATATGTCAAATGGAAAAAGCCAGCGTCTTTCTGAGCCTCAGGAAAGTGGGGACAGTGATGTCACCACCTTTGTCCAAAGGTGGGGTGGCCGTCTGCACTAAAAGCTGGGAGCCGGCAGTGAGATGGGGAGCTGAACTTTTCTTTTTATTTATAGTTTATTTAAAGTGAAAAATTTGGCCTCCCTGGGGGCATAAAGGTTAAGTCTCAGTCCAGTCAATGCTGTGGCCTGAGTTCGATCCCCAGCCAGGGAGTGGCCACAGGGCACAGCTGACTTCTCCTATCTCCTGCTGTTCCCCTCGGCAGCAGATTTCAGTGAATCCACCTGTTCTACACCCACTTCTGTCTCTGGTGGGTCTTCTCAACCGCCCCCCTATCTCTGGCCTGTACCCTAGTTCTTGGATGTATAAATAAATCTTTAAGAAAAAGATACACTTACAGAACTGGGGTGCAGGCTAGAGGTACAGGGGATGAGAGGATACCCTAGAGAGAGTGGGGAGCAGAAAAGGCAGATCTACTAAAATCCACTGCTGAGGGGGGCAGTGGGTGGGTCAGGAGAGGCCTGCTGCACCCTGTGGGTCACTCCCTGACTGGGGATCAAACTCCTGCTGCAGTGGCTTCTGAGAGCTTCAGAGTGCTGTGCTTTAACCCATTGCGCCAGCAGGGAGAGCCCAATAAATAAATATTTTTTAAAAAGATAAATAAAATGTGAATCCTTGACTTAGTTGCTAGGAAAGCCTTAAAGGTATTTGGAATAACGTGAGTTCCTGAATCTGAAGCCCCAACTCTAAGTCTTACGAAATTTAAACAAAGATCAAGTATTGCTGGGGAATTTTAGTATCTGAATTGATATGCGTGAAGGTGAACATTTCAAAGACTTAGTAACAAAGAAGTAAAATACATCAGTAATAATTTTAGAACTGTGTGTGGAAATGGTATTAGTTTGTATATACAATCAAGTCATACTATTAATGTGGCTTCTTTTTATATTTTAAACACGGCTTAGTAGAAAGTTTGAAATGACATCTGGGTTTCCCATTATATTTCGACTGGATGTTACTGCTTCTTTAACACACAGCTCAATTCATATCATCTGATTTAATTAGAGTTAAGAATGGGGAGTAGAGTAAGACGCCCTCGGGGTGCAGTGGCGCCATTTCACCACAAGAGGGCAGCCGCGTCCGAGTGAGTCTCCCCTCTTTTCCAAGAAACCCTCAATCTTGGCCTCGCCTTCCACCCGCAAAAAAGCTATAGCTCACAGTAACTAAGGCCCTGGAGCGCACACTTGGAGACAGGAGCTCAGGCAGAAACTTGCGGGGTTTTCCTCTTCCCCCACTACTGCGTCCCAAGCAGGCTTTCTGGAAGTCGTTGTTTTTCTAAGAACTGTCAGAACGTTACAGAAAACAAAAGCGGATGAACAAAGGTTGCACATTCCTCATAGTCTAAGCCCCAAAGCCTGGGTCCAGGTGTGACACTGTAAGAATCCGGAAGTAGAACCGGTTTTGTTCCTCTAATCCCGGAGCCTCACTGAAATGTTACCTGGTGAAAAACCATCCTGAAATGAGTCCAGCAGCTCCCAGCAGGAGCCACTTAGGGGGCCAGTGGGGCATGTCCAGAGCACCCCCTGAAGGGGCAGGGCTGCAAAGCAGCGTTAACTGAGCACCAAGTCTCCCCAAGTTGGACAAAGAGTTTATTAGATGATCAAAGCGAGGGTTTGTGCCGGGAAGCGGCCTGACAGATTGTACTTGTGAGAAGGTTCCAGTACATACAAGCTGGAGCTGAGTTTCTAGACGCAGGAAAAGTGAGTCATGGAAATTACCAGTGTAGTTATTCCCAACAGTGCTAAGCCGTCCTGACCTAAAGGCGGCTGACGATGGCGGTTGCTGTGCAGGGTTTCTCTCTCCCTCTCTGGGAAGTGTCCTGCAGAGCCCAGGCCAGGGCTCTGAAACTTCTGTCTGCTCCTGGGCCTCCCTGGTGGCACAGGGTTAAAGCGCAGCACTGTGGAGCTCTGGGTTGCTGCCTCAGCACGAGTTCGATCCCCGCCAGGGAGTGACCCCCAGGGCACAGCAGACCTCTCCCGTCTCCTACCTGCTCCCCTCAGCAGTGGGTTTCAGTCTGTCTGCCTGTTCTGCTCCCCACTCTGTCTCTGGTGAATATTCTCATGCCCCTGCACCTCTGGCCTACACCCCAGCTCTTGCATACCTAATAAACAAATCTTTAAAATGTACTCACCACACACAAAAATATCCAGTGTGCAGAACACTTGGAACCAAGGAAGGCGCGGTGGTCACGACGAGGGCATTACGTCAGGGAAGGAAAGAGCGGACGGCGAGGACGTAGGGGCGTGTGCGAAAAGCAAACTGATAAAACTAGCTCAGGCCGTCAGGCCCCCTGGGCCCTCAGGGGCCTCATCTGTGAAAACACGTCACCATGTCAGCATCTCTCCCTCGGATACTGGGCAGTGAGAAGGGAATGGGCTGACATTGTTGTCCCACAAAGGGGAGCTAGACAGAGCTGGAGAGGAACCCTGAGGGGCCCACTCAGAAATTCTGCCCCTATGCTCCCTGCCTCTGGCCTCCTCCCTGGCCTCCAGCCTCATCCCTGTCTCCACCCAGGCCTCCCTGCCTCCAGCCTCCTCCCTGTCTCTGGCTTCCACCCTGGCCTCCCTGCCTCCAGCCTGGCCTCCCTGCCTCTGGCCTTCTCCCTGCCTCTGGCTTCCACCCTGGCCTCCCTGCCTC